ACGATATACACAGCACGCGGACGAAGAAGACATGCACTCGACACGATGTACTACTGTACTTGCTGCATACTGTACCTGGCGTGGTGGAGGGCTGGACTCCCGGTGGTGCCAACGCGATCGGGGCCACGAAATCGTTGATCTCCAGCGGCTGCGCCAGTCGCACCAGTGCAATGTCGTTGACGATTTCCGTGTCTCTGCATGGTCATCATTTATATATATATATATATACATATATATGTATAAGACTTGTGTGATTGATTGTGTTGCATGTGAGCCATGATTATAATACTGTACACAGTTCAACCTCTTCAAGTTGGATTTCAAGTTCAAAGAACCAACAACAACATCGACAAAAATATCCCATATAGTTGGGGTGCTGGGAAAGAAACAAGAATTGCAGGAAAAACCATTCAATTTTCAGCACTAATTTTAAAACAACAAAAGTCTGTTTGGCAGATTTGGTCTGTTGGGTGGGAGGAAAAACTGCCTACAGAGCTGGTCTGTTTAGCAAAAATCCCTTTTGCGTCAAGTCTGTTAGGCGGGGGAGGGTACCATAATTAGTGATATTGTATAGGCCTTGAATTGCTTCTGAACTGAGTTGACAGAATGCTCCTGACCTTGAAGGCAATAAATGGCCTCAAGAAAGTTTGAGTTATGAGGCTTTCAAAGTATTGTTTCCCAGAGGATTCCAACCTAAAATCATTTAACCCTTGGTCAGCACTGCCAGGATTTATTTGCAGAATTTTGTGCCACTGCTAAAAGAAAGAAAAGGGAAATGCCTAGGATGATCCCAAGAGCCAAAGTCAGGAAAAATCGCTTCTTTTTTTTAAATTCCTGCAGAAAAACGTTTGTGAGATAAGAATCATTTACTGCCTGCGCTGGTGGCATTTCTTCTGCATTCCAGCCATGGGATTAAAGTGCAAGGGATTTTCAAGGCAATGGTTTTTGCTCTCTGCTGGGATTTTTCCTGACCTTGGCTACTTGGTCAAAGGTGTGTTTTGGTGACCTTCAGTCAAACCAAAATGCACAAGAGTGCAAAAATTTACCAGCACTTTCACTGGATGGCAATTGACCTGTTGTTGCTCAAGGGTCAAGTTGAGCTTTTTTTTTCATGAGAGTTATTATTCATGATAATCATTTTATTTTGTAAAAGGAATTTTCAAGCTAAACAGTTTAGACATAGAATATGGGGTGACATTTTATGATGCATGCCCTGCATCACTAAATGCCACATTGATGATGGGAGATTGATATGAGTGTGTGATTTACTGTATATGATGATGTGGAAAAGTGTATGTAAGTGACTCACGTGAGTGCAAATCCTTCGTGGGAAATGTACTCGGCAGGAACAACGGTTTGCTCAGTGAATTCGTTGTTCTGGAAGTGCGACTCTCCAACGACGACCTGCAGTGAATGAAAAGTGGATTCATTGATGCATAGTTGTGCATAATTATACTCAGTCAGCAGTTTGGCAAGTGAATTCAGCAATTTCTGTAAATAGGCACAAATACAGCAACAACAAAAAAGGATTCAGTTAATTTACACCACATGCCTGATGGTGATGGAGGACAACTGAGTGCCAAACGCTTGAATGACCTTGAAATGCACTAAAGTTGAGATATTTTTAATTTACCTTTTCAGAAAGAAAAAATACGCTGATGAGTAACATGACAGTATCAGGCTAACTTTTCAATGGCACCATGTGCAATTAATAAACGGCAAATTCTGTGGAACTTGGAAAATTCAGTCCAGCTTTGCCACTTGTTTTCTATCATATGGATGATAGTATATCATTAATATAGGAACAGAAGTGTGCAAACATACTTTTAAAATACTGTATTTACTCAAGTACCAAGTGCACCTTTTTTCTCAAATTTCAGAAGAGAAAAGGGGGCCCAGGTTATAAGTGGGTACAAATTTTTCAAGAAGTTTTAGGAAGTTATGTGTGCATCATACTTAATTATAATGGAGAAATTTGGAGCAAATGTAACAAGAAAACGTTTTGGTACTGAAAAAGTTGATCAGTTTTTGTTCAATTTATGCCTAAAGTCAAAATTTTTGTTCTTATTTTCAAAGTTGTGTAGTTTTAGATATGCTACAAATTGGGGTGCACATCTTACTTGGGGATAAGATTCTAGCAATATTTCCAACTGAAAAACCCTGTGCGTGTCTTGCTTGAGGCCTTGAGGGTGTGTAGTACTCGAGTAAATACAGTACTGTACTGTATGAAAAGTATTGTTCATGTACACACATTTACACAACATTATTTGCAGCCAATTCTTCAAAAAATAGTTGATGAATTCTGATGCACACTTCATTCCTTGGGTGGCTGGAATAACGTCAGGGGTAACATTGCATTTTGGAATTTAATTTTACTGCAAAACTGGAGCAAAATTGTCAAAATATTCTTATTTTTTTGAAATTGGAACAACCTTGTCTGGCAAAACTGGACTTTCCTGGTAATGTGAATATGGAATAACCTCCTCCTATGCATAGTACAAGCAGAGACTTAGAACAGGGTTAAAAAAAAGTTCATGAATGGCGAATTTTGTCTCCACTTCTGTCACAGGGTGGCAAAAATTTCCCAGGAAAGGAAGCAGGGAAGAACTTCATTCAGGAGATTGGGAAGACAATTCCATTTTTTTCTTGACGTCAATTTTCCAGTTCAGGTGTGCAAAGGTTGTTCCAGTTCTTAAGAAACAATATTCTTCCATTACCAATGTACAAGATTTTTTCCTTTTTTTCAAATATTAATTTTTTTAACAACTTTCAGGATTTTTTGGCAGTACCATGTTGGGCCAGTTATGTAGAAAGGGAAGATTTTTTCACCAGAGACTTGATGACAGTAATCCTGTGCTGAAATTACAACATTATTTCACCACCCCCATTTCTTGCCCCAATTTCCAGGGGAAAAGAAGAAAATGTGCACCCCTTATTATCCAGCAAATATTAAGCTACTTTGTATAAAGGAGGTCACTCGTTTTTTTTTTTTTTTTTTTTTTTTTTTTTTTCAAATATTAAGCTACTTTGTATAAAGGAGGTCTCTTTTTTTTTTTTTTTTTTTTTTTTTTGCACAGCTGAGTTGGCCTTGGCCTTCATATCTACATTCGAGCTGAGCCATCAGCAGCAGCAGTTTATTAAATTTCCGCGGCATTCGATGCCACCTTTAAAATTTACACTTATTGCAGTATTATACCGCAGTCACATGATCTCACCCGGATGAACTCGACGGGGATCGGGAAAAGCTGCTCCTCGAAGCAATGAGCAGCCGTGAGGATCCAGTTGGGATGAATGATGGATCCTCCGCAAAAGTGCTGCTTCAGGATCACGGCATCCAGTTGCAGACTCACCTGATACGGGTACTCGCCTATGCCACCAAATTGCAGTACCGTACATTCATCCACAAACCAATTTGATACGTTTTTTTTTATGGAATTAGTATAGCATCAAGTTTTTGAAGAAGAACAATTTATAGAAAGTAATCTAAAATAAAACACTTTCAATCAGCCTAATGGAACAAAATCCTATAGATGGATTAATTTCTAACTCAAAGTGTTTGGAATTGCATTTCGAATCGTCCTAATAAACGTTTAGAGAATATTTTGGAGTAAGGACAAAAAAAGTGCAACGAAGAATAATACAACTCAGCAAAACTCTTCAAGCAATATAGAACACACTTTTCACACCAAAGTTTCAATTGCAAATGCTTTGTTTTTTCGATGGACGAAGAAAGGAAGGATTAGATTTCATTATTTCAGAGGAGTGGTTTACCTTGATAAGTGGTCTTTTCGTTTATTTAGTGAAGTTGTTTTTTTTTTTTGAATACGACCGGCAGTTTTATTTTTTTACTGGTTTTTATAAACAGGATATTTTGGTGCGGACATGGAATTTCCCAACAGATAATAAGGGAAATAAGAATCATCACAATAACTGTGTGTCCGCACTGTTGCATGTGTGGATTACAACAGAGATCTGGGTCTTGTATCCAGTTCGTGAGTAGGCCAACACACACACACAAAAGAAAAGGAGCGGGAGCCAAAAACAAAAACAAAAAACAACAGCATTACTGCTGTGCAAAAACGCTTCTCAGAAGCCTGCTTTCATACTGTTGGGTGCATTCGAAAGTTTTTCATGCGTCTGCTGAATAGCTATCTAATAATTCACAACTCCCATCAAGCAGCACATTTCTGCATATTTTGCAAAAATATAAACCGTAAATCAATTTTTGCAGAATTACTTGAGACCATCAGCGCTGATTGAAAAGATTAAAAAATTTATATTGCTTGCTAATTCCCAGCATCACCACTTGATGCGCTTTTTTCCCTCCCCCATTTTTCGTGGAAATACGCGCTGATTTGATTCAAGACCTCAATTTTTTTTTTCATTTCGCCGAAATGTGTATATCATCGCATATCAGCATGTACTTGCCTACTTCGGCCACAACCCCGCCGACGATCCGGTCGCCATTTTTCAGCGAATTTCCTCGTCTATTCTCCGCTGGTTTGCCAAAAGCGACTCCGCCAATAAGCCCTGATGATGGAACGACATGAAAAATATGATAGTCAATCTTTACAAGATTTGGACAATGAAGCGGTGGGAAAAATTCACATCAATGCGTTTCAAAATCCACGGATGAAATGTCACTCTGTAATTAATTCAATTATCTTCCGAAATTAAGTCCTATATCAAATCCACCCTTTCTTCAATAATTTATTATTTTTAAATTTCACATGCTTGATGATCTTGGAAAAGTGTATAGGATAATAACTCACCTACTAATAGCACAGCAACAGCTGCAACAGTGACAAGCTTCATTGCGAAATCAACTTGAAACGATAAACCTGCAAAAAAAAGGCAGTGTCTCAATTTTCAGCAATCTGTGCAATTTCACACACACAAAAAACAATTGAATGTAAAATTGGCAGCAATGAGTGTCGAGTGCTGTATTATTATGGTGTTATTGCGCAATATAACCCGTGCTAATTCCGCAGTCAAGGGAAATTCGGGCCTCTTGCGGATTATAGTCTTTATCGCAACACAGGGCACATTAACGAGTGGCAGACATGTGTGAGCTTATCTGGGTCGTTTCCGTTTGCACGTCCTGAATTTCTTGCGTTTCTCACGGCGATCGAGTAATCCTTTTTTCACGCAGTTGCACACATGTCTGTCTGTATATACTGCATATCTATCCATTTCTTCTTCTCCTTCTTGGAAATTGGCACAATCGATGACTGTACCTGAAAAGATTATTTTGCGCGAGTGGCAAAAACGGCGCGGAACGTGTCCGTGACGCTACGTCGCCTTTGGGGCGACCTCGTGTACGCTTCGTGGCGTCCAGATGACGATAATCATGACGATGATGGAAACGACACCGACACAGCTGACGAGCAGGTCTTGGGGATGACTCGGAATCAGGATCAGCAGCAGCAGCAGCAGAGACAAATAATCAAGCGACGAGCCCCGTTGCCGCCGCCACCGACAGATGGCAGCAGCAGCAGCAATTTTAATGATGCCAATGCTAGCAGTGTGGATCCGGCGGCTGCCAAAATGACCGCCACAACCAGGAATTTCCTGGGGCCGTCGGTGGAGACGGAGACGGCGGTGGTGTTCCAGCCGCCATCATTGATGAGAGCCGCTTCTGCGGATGTGAGTGCCCAATATAGCTTTTTTTTGTTTTTTGTATTATATATTTGGGAAAATTTGGGTTCAGTAATTGCCTTGCACTGCAATTTTTATTGCTGACGATATTTTGTTTTTTTTGTCATCAGGGACGGAGAGAAAGTGTATGTATTTACATCAATTTGGCAATTGTACATTATTATGGGGTGTGTTTTCTTTTCTTTTATCCTCCATATACGAGTACAGTGAGACCCCAAGATGCAGACATAATTGGTGCATCACAAGTGTCCCTAAGTTGAATTGTCCCTAACCCAGCAAAGAATGGGGGCGTTGGGCTGGGGAACGTTTTGACATTGGCATTGGCAACGCCGTTGCAGCACCATTGTCTCATCAGGGCTGATTGCCTCCAATGCCCTTCTCTTTATTGACGTTGGGGGAACACAATGAGAAGGCGCTGTCAATGGCATTCTCCCAACGTTGTGAAAAAATGATGATTTGTAAGTGGCATTGGCAGCACCTTGGTAACGCATATTCAAATTGTGATTTAGAAAATCGGGGAGAGGCCGTCTTCAGTGGCATTGCAGAATCCCTTCTGAATGCATT